ATCTCATTTTGTACGTGACTTTTCTTTCTGTTTTAAAGATGTTTCCTTCGGATTGTTTGACTAATACAGGAAAATATAACTTAATGAATCTGTGTTTCCCGCCAGCTAAATTTAACACACAGAAACACAAATCTGGCTCTAAACCTCTCTTTTCTTTATTCAGAGTTGATCTAGACGAGTACATGGAAACTATCCAAAGTTCTGTTCATCCTAAAGCAGTCAAAACGGCATCTCTATATTCATCCTGTGTGTCTTAAGATGAAAAAACAACAACATGGTTACTACGCTTTTACTGTAATAAAACCAAGGTTCATTTTCTAAAAGGATTTGTATTTGTGTATTCATTCTTACTTTATTTTTTCTTTGTTTTGTTTTTATAACTGTACTGCCTTAATGGATTGGAGATTTCAGATCAGGACTTCGGAGTGCGGATCAAATGATTTGCGATCTGCGCTCCGAAGTTCCGATCTGAATCAAATGATTCCCGATATGCTATTCCGATCAAAGTGATTTGCGATTTGCGCTGCATAGTCCCAATCTGAATCATGATTCGCGAACCATCATTTCAGATCAGGACTTCGGAGCGCGGATTACGGATCATTCAATTTGTGAAATGATTCATGAACCCGCTCTGAGGTCCCGATCTGAATTAAATGATACGCGATCCGACTGGAGTGCTTCAAAACAGTGAATCATTTTGCGACACAATGGTTTAACTCATTCAAAGTTTCGAAAAGCTCTGTTTCCACCCATCACTACGTGCTTTTTTAAATCATTACAAGCGATGTCGAAATTTAAAAAAAAATGAAGGGCTCTTTTGAACTGGTTTTTGCTAGTGAATCACTTGAACTGAATGATCGAAGTCACGAGCTTGAGTTTGAATCAATCGGAGTAGTTCCAGCGTAAATGACTCACTCAATTGAATCCAGTTTGTTTGTTCCCCTTTTCGCGTCTTCAGTCATGTTTACACGACATTGTCAGCACTACTACTGGCTTAGGTCGCTAGTTTTATAACATTAACACTCACACACTCACACACACACACCCACACACCCACACACACACACACTCACACACACACACACACACACACACTCACTCACTCACACACACGCGCACGCACACACTCACACACACACATACACACACACACACACACACACACACACACACTGCGGTTCCTACAGCTGCCAGCCGGTTCAGCAGGCAGATGGAGGCCATTTGTTCGTCAGTGATATTTCTTCATTACTGTCATCAGGGACTCTGCTCTTAATGTCTGGATCTCTTTCCTCTGTTAATGAGGATGTGTTTGTTTAAGTGACAAACTGCCGAGCTGAAAGAACGCTAACAAACTACTCAAACATCTCTCACACTCCTCACAGGAGCCTCAACTAAACTGAACTATTCTGTTCTCAGTTGCTCTGATTATAAGCACACGTGACACCAGGGGCGGATTTAGTGAATTGGTGCCCCAGGCAAAATATAGGAATGGGGCCCTATACATTTACACACATTTTCCCAGATCAACCTTGAGGTTCCATTTTGTTGTTTTCAGCGTAAGCCTGTGTGCAAAGGCTGTCTAATTCTAAACTTTAAAATACATTTATTTTTAGTTGTTTTAACTACAA